ACAAAGAACCCTCACTTTTCCAAACACGCGTACACACGCACCTACAGGCCCTCGACAATATGCTTTTTTCTATTTGCAAAAAGGCATGATCATTGGAGCCGCGCACCAGGCGGGCGCTGCGATCATCCATTTTTGCACTTTTTCGTGCTGTAGTAAGGTCGCTTAGAATCCCAGTAGCTAGAATTTGCGACACACCGATCCTTAAAGTCCAAAAAGTTAATTGCGGCATGACACTTTGACAAAGAACATTCCTTTAAAATTTCAGTTTTCTAGCTTCCTGGTCCCCAAGTTAGCAATTTCCCGCCAAAAATTTTCACGGGCCCGTACGTGAAGATCACGCACACCTAGGGGCTGAATTTGAAATCTTTAGTTTTATGTGGGCGGAGGACATCCCATTAAAGTTTCAGTAGTCCAGCTTTTTTGACTCAGTTAGCAATTTTCCCGTCAAAACTTTCGCATGCTCATACGCAGGGTCCAGATGCGCGTGGAGGTTGATACCGCTGTCCTGAGGTGGCATTTGGACGAGGAAACCACTGGCAAAATTTTAGCGCCGGAGCTTGCTAGGTTGCCGAGTTAAAATACTTGGATACACATACACACCATGTCACAATACGTGTTTTTGCATGTACATATATGCAAAAAAGCACATAAATGACCAACGCTTCAACGCACAACGCAAGGAGAATAGAAAGGCGCATTGTGCAAACTTTTCGAAAGAAAGATATAAAAGGAGAAGCTCAGTCGAACTAGTTCATTTTTAATCTTTTACATTTCGTAGCTGGTAGCATCCGTGGACAACTCAAAACAAGCGAGCGATGGCGCCTCGAATGAAGGTATGCTGTATTAATGGAACCAGTATCCACTCGCGTGCGAGGATATTAGAAGAAACTGCTGGAGCATGCATCTCTGCTGCTGCTTGTATGCATTCACATATTCTGGCAGAGTCCAGTTCCAGACTCGCGCGTTGCTAATGTTTTACGGGGCGCCCCCGAGAAGGATTCAGCTTTAGCCGGCGAGCCGGCCTCGACTTTCTTCAGCAGAGTCGCCTTCTCTGAAAATGCGACATTTATTTGCATAAGATCAGCCGGTTTGTAGCGGCCGGTGATGTCGCGTGGTCGGAATGTTTGTTCCGTTGACGATCGCAAGGTGAACAAGGGAGGCGCCAAAGCGGTGATGGCAGTGGCCGAAATCCGCGCGCCAATCGGAAAAAAATTCGTTCGCCAGAAAACCACTGTATGTTGCGTATTGCATTCATATTATAAATAAAGTAGGCAAATGGCAATAATAATGATAATAAAAAATAACTTACAGAACAAGAGCCCAAACAGTGGAGAAAGAGAGAACGGAGACCTCCCAAGCTTTCCCTCCACGCAGGAGCAGTTAATACAGTGTTAAAATATTCCCTCAGGGACAAAGTACGACAAACATATAAATTCATTACGTAAACATTAAGACATAAAATTATAGCAGAATTTATTGGTTTCGCAACTGTCACTCCAAAAATGTTTGCTTTTTAACCGCAATGGATTGAAGGTTCGGGAAAGTAAGAAATTGGCGCACGGAGAAAGGGAAGGGACGGACAGTGGTAGAAAGAACTTCTTCTTCCGGCACAATACGAGCTTTCAAGATTTCTTTGTGGAAGGTGTGAACACCGTTCAGGAGAAAGATGATAAGTCGAAAATGGTGTCCGAAACGGTTTACGAGCAGTGGATGGATTCTGTGATTGAGAACGGCGTGAAAAATATACGCCGAGAATACTTGGAACTGGTGCGCAGCTATGTGCCAAGCGGAACTCAACGAGCTTGGGAATCAGACAAAAACTACGATAAAAACAGGCAAAAGATAGATTCTTTCAGTTTATCCAGCATACTAGTGCTGCAAAGGGCTTCGCGAGTCGATTTTGAGAAAAGCCCCTTCCAGCCACACTTTCGCTTAGTTCGTCATGCTTTTCCGTTACACTGTATGCTAAAATTCAGATACGATGATATCCGTGTGCTAGACGAAACAAGAGTCGTCCTGAAGCATTGCGGTAACATTTATTTATGAAAACCGTTTTCTCTACTGCCAACCGTTTTGTACCTCTGTTCAGTTTCGCAGTCTTTAACACAATTGGCCAACGCACGGGCTGCCCGTGCGAAGATGCGTTTTTTGCATAGTTCCCCGCAGTTTTTGTTGCTGCCGGCACCGGCTTTTTTGGCAAATGCTTCTAGCTGAACAAATTAAGACTGACGGCCAGAACTGTCAGAAAACACCCCCTTAAAATTTCAGCTTTCTAGCTTCCCTGGCTCCTGAGTTAGCAATTTACTGGAAAAAATTTTCACGGGCCCGTGCGTGCTTACCACGCGTACCCGAGAGTTGGGTTTGAGTTGAATGAAACTTAGGTGGACGGAGTATATCCTCTTTCATTACAGTCGTCTAGTTTATAAGATCCTCAAGTTGTGAACTTACCCGAAAAAAATTTTGGCAGGCCCGTACGCGGGTACCACGTCTGCCCGAGGGTTAGGTTTGAGCTCAATAATACCCACTTTCAGCTTTCTGAAAGTGGGTATTATTGAGCCCAAACCTAAGATTTCAGCTTTCTAGTTT